CGGAGCCCCGATGGGGACGCTTGAAGCCCCGATGGGGGTGTTGGAGCCCACATGGGGGTGCTCGGAGCCGTGATAGGGATGCTTGGAGCCCGATGGGGACGCTCGGAGCCCCGATGGGGACGCTCGGAACCCCAATGGAGGTGTTGGAGCCCCAATGGGGACACTCTGATCCCATTTCTCCCCCTCCCTGCCTCCGGTCCAGGTGAGCCATCACCCCCCCGCCGCCGCCCATCACGCTGACTCCAAGCACGGGTGGACGCTGCGCCAGGAGATCAAGATCACCAGCAAGTTCCGAGGCAAATACCTCTCGGTGATGCCTTTGGGTAAGGGGAAGGTGATGGGAGCTTGGGGAACGCGGTTGGGTATAGGATGGCTCCCAATGCACGTCCCCATCCCAGGCACCATCCACTGCGTCTTCCACTCCACCGGCAACCACTACACGTGGAAGAAGGTCACCACCACCGTGCACAACATCATCGTGGGCAAGCTCTGGATCGACCAGGTGGGATGGACCCCCCTCCGCTCCCCATATATGTGGGTCCAGCATGGAAGCATGGACCCATCCCTTCCCTATGGGGCTGGATCCGACCCTCTCCTCCCTGCAGTCGGGTGAGATCGAGATTGTCAACCACAAGACAGGGGATAAATGCAACCTCAAGTTCGTGCCCTACAGTTACTTCTCCCGGGATGTGGCGAGGAAGGTGGGATATGGAGTGATGCTCGTGATTCCCAATGGATCTGGGTGGTGGTGGTGATGGTGGGGGGGGTACCACTCTACCCGTTGTCCCATCAGGTCACTGGGGAGGTGATGGACCCCGCTGGGAAGGTGCATTTCATCCTGCTGGGCACTTGGGATGAGAAGATGGATTGTTACCGGGTGAGCCCGGGGCCTGGTGACAACGGGGCGGAGGGGAGGCAGAAAGCCCATGAGGGTGAGGAGAGCCGGGTGCTGCTGTGGAAGAGGAACCCGCTGCCGTGAGTTGGGGATGGGGTGGGGATGGGATGGGATGGGGATGGGGATGGAGATGGGATGGGGATGGGATGGGGATGGAGATGGGATGGGGATGGGATGGGGATGGGGATGGGGATGGGATGGGGATGGGGATGGAGATGGGATGGGGATGGGATGGGGATGGGGATGGGATGGGATGGGGATGGGGATGGGGATGGGAATGGGAATGGGATGGGGATGGGAATGGGGCTGGGATGGGTGTAGGATGGGGATGGGACTGGGATGGGGATGGGATGGGGTTGGGAATGGAGATGGAATGGGAATGGGAATGGGATGGGGATGGGGATGGGATGGGGATGGGGATGAATGGGGATGGGATGGGTCGGGGATGGAGATGGGAATGGAGGTGGGAATGGGGATGGAGATGGGATGGGAGGGATGGGAATGGGAATGGAGATGGGATGGGGTGGGGATGGATGGGGATAGGGATGGGGATGGGAATGGAGATGGAGATGGGGATGGGGATGGGGATAGGGACAAGGATGGGGATGGGGATGGGATGGGGATGGGATGGTGATGGGGATATGGATGGGGACAGGGATGGGGATGGGGATGGGACGGGGACGGGGCTGGATCCCGGTGCTGGCTCAGGCGCTGATCCCCGAGCTCTGCTCCCCTAGGAAGTACGCAGAGAACATGTACTACTTCTCGGAGCTGGCGCTGACCCTGAACGCACCAGAGAGCGGCACGGCCCCCACCGACAGCCGCCGGCGCCCGGACCAGCGCCTCATGGAGAACGGGCGCTGGGATGAGGCCAACGCCGAGAAGCAGAGGCTGGAGGAGAAGCAGCGCCTGAGCCGCAAGAGGCGCGAGGCCGAGGCCGCCCGAGCCACTGAGGACGGTGAGGAGAGAAGGAGCTGAGCAGGAGCAGCTGGAGCCCAAGGAGCCCCCAGCGTCCTGGCCTGCACCAGCACCAGTGCGGCAGCAGGAGCAGGGCAGGGATTGGGCCCCTGTGCTGGGCACTGGGGAGGCTGCACCTCGGATCCTGGGCTCAGCTCTGGGCCCCTCACTGCAAGAGAGACCTTGAGGGGCTGGAGCGGGGCCAGAGCAGGGCAATGGAGCTGGGGCAGGGCCTGGAGCCCAAGGGTGATGGGGAAGGGCTGAGGGAGCTGGGGGGTTCAGATGGAGAAGAGAAGGCTCAGGGGGGACCTGATGGCTGCCTCCAACTGCCTGACAGGAGGATGGAGCCAGGAGGGGCTGGGCTCTGCTCCCAAGGAACAAGGGATGGGACAAGAGGAACCGGCCTCAAGCTGCACCAGGGCAGGGTTAGATGGAGCTGAGGAACAATTCCTGCCCCAGAGGGTGCTCAGGCATTGGAACAGGGGTTCAGGCACCACCCCATTGCTGTCGGTACCAATGCGCTGATGCAATCCTGCATCCTAACCCGGTGCTTGCATCCTCTCCCTTAGGAACCCCCTACGACCCCTATAAGCCGCTGTGGTTCGAGCGCAGGAAGGACCCGGTCACGCAGGAGCTGGCGCACGTCTACAAGGGGGGGTACTGGGAGAGCAAAGAGAAGCAGGACTGGAGCCTCTGCCCGGACATTTTCTGAGCCAGGAGGAAGAGGAGGAGGAGGAAGAGGAGGAGGAAGAGGAAGAGGAGGAGGAAGAGGAAGAGGAGGAGGAGGAAGAGGAGGAGCAGAGGGCGCTGAAGCCCTGGCACCGAGCGGCTCCCTCCATCCCATCCCTCCCTCCATCCATCGCCTGTCTTAACCGCCCCATCCACACCACGGGGGTGCCTTAGCCCCATCCAATGCCCTCGATGCCATGGGGCGAGCGGGAGCCGGCAGGGGACCCCCCCTCTCCACTCCAAATGGGGGGTCCCCTTCCTCCCATAGCGCTGTGGGGGCCCCAAGGGGGGGGGCGTAGAGGGGTGAGGCTGAGGCTGGCCTTGGTCTCACCCCCCCCCCCATTTATCGTTTGGTTCCCATTCAGCCCCACACATTTGGGGTGTGTGAGGTGGGGTGGGGGGGGCAGACCCTGCCCCACAGCCTGTTCTATAGGTGTATATTATATATATGTAGAGCGCAACCGGGGTCCCCTTCTCACAACACCCCTGGGTTTGGGGTGCCCCCCCCCCCCCAAAACACGGGGCTCCCCCTCCAGGTGCCTTCCCTTTAGTTTAGGGCAAGGGGGGGGTGGGCTGAAGTCCCAGGGCGCAGCAGGACCCTGCACCCCCAAACACTACAGGGGCTGTGGGGGGGGGGGTGGTCCCTGCACCCCAAACCTGACCCATGGGGGGGGGTGTCCCTGCACCCCAAACCTACAATGGGGGTGGATGATGCCTTTTTTTTTTGTTGTTGGTTTTTTTCCCTTTTTTCCCCTTTTTTCCAGGAAAAACTAAATTAAAACCTGTGACTGCCCCAGCCCAGCTCTGCCTGCTCCATGGGGATGGGGTGGGGGGCTGAGTTTGGGGGTATCCCCTGTTCTTTTGCAGCTCATGGCTTACCCCATCCCTTCAGCCCCCCTGCACCCCACAAAAGGTAAAGGGAAGCTTTGGCAGCGCCCGAACAGGGACTTGAACCCTGGACCCTCAGATTAAAAGTCTGATGCTCTACCGACTGAGCTATCCGGGCAGCCCTATGGGCGCTTGGGGGGGGCACGCAGTCCGCAGCCTTCATCGTCATCATCCTCCATTGTGTGTGTCCCCCCCCACCAAACGCCTCAGTTTGGGGGTCCCCGGGGGCTGCCAGAACCCTTTGGGGCTCATTCCCCCCTCATCACCACCACGCTGGCCCCATAGGGCTCCGTTTTGGGGTCCGTTTTGGGGTCCGCCTCCCCAGCGAACGCAGCGGCTGAGGCGGGACTCGAACCCGGGTCCCTGGGGACAGCCCCGCGGCGGCTCCATGGTGTAGGGGTGATCACGTCTGCTTTACACGCAGAAGGTCCTGGGTTCGAGCCCCAGTGGAGCCACCCCGGCCCCGAGGTGGCTTTTTTGGGATGGGGGGGGGACATAGGAGCCTAGAGCCCTCCTCCCCTCGTGCTGATTGGCCAGTGGGTGAGGGAGGCGTGTGCTTATTGGCCAGCACCGTGCTCTTTGGTGATTGGTTTAACCTATGTTTTCCTTCACGCCGATTGGCCAGGTGGTTTGAGCACACGTCACATTGAGCGGATATTCCACTCCGATGCTCGTTCATTAGTGTGGGCTGATTGGCCGGCTGGTCTGGGGGTGCTGATTGGCTGACTGGTTACAGCGATAGATCGTCCAGCCAATGGCGGAGCGCGGGTTGGCAGTGAGCTACGTGTACCCGTTGACCTCCGCCTGTACCCGTTGAGCTCTGCCTGTAGCCAATGACCTTTGCCTGTACCCATTGACTTCTGCCTGTACCCCTTGAACCCTGCCTGTACCCATTGAGCTCTGCCTGTAGCCAGTGAACTCTGCCTGTACCCATTGACTTCTGCCTGTACCCATTGACGTCTGCCTGTACCCATTGACTTCTGCCTGTACCCATTGACTTCTGCCTGTACCCATTGAGCTCTGCCTGTACCCATTGACCTCTGCCTGTACCCACTGACTTCTGCCTGTACCCATTGAGCTCTGCCTGTACCCATTGACCTCTGCCTGTACCCGTTGAGCCCTGCCTGTACCCATTGACTTCTGCCTGTACCCATTGACTTCTGCCTGTACCCATTGAGCTCTGCCTGTACCCATTGAGCTCTACCTGTACCCATTGACCTCTGCCTGTACCCTTTGCACCCCGCCTATACCCTGGCTCCTGCCTTCTCCCTCTGCCCCCCCCCACCCCCCATGGGTTCAAGCCCCCTGTCCCTGTCCCGCATAGGACCCCATGCACTGCCCCATTGCCCACAGTGGGCTGGGGCTGGTGCCAATCCCACCCCATGAACCAACAGACGCTCCCCCAGCTCCGATCCAGGGGGTTTATTGGTCCCCAGCTGCCCCCCACCCCATTGGGGTCCCCATTGCAGCTCAGCTCCGGTTGTTCACTGTGACCCCTACTGATGGCAGGGGCAGGTTTGGGGGGGCCGCATCACCGGGACGACAGCATCATAACGAACTCTGTGGGTGACAAAGGGGGTGTGAGGGGACCCCAGGGCTGAGCCGTGCCCATGGAGGGGGTACAGGGGGGGACCCCCCTCACCATCGAAGTCCACGCGCCCGTCCCCATTGAGGTCCACGTCCTGCAGGATCTCGTCCACCTCGTGCGCCTTGAGCTGCTCGCCCAGCAGGGCCGCGATGGCCGCCCGCATCTCCCCACTGCTGATCTCCCCGTCCCCGTTGGCGTCAAACTGGGGGGCCCACGGGGTTAGGGGGCACCAGGGGCACCGGTAAACACCACCCGTGTCCCCTATGGGCATGGTGTCCCCATGGTCTTCCTATGGTCGTTGTTCTGTCCATGACTGCCATCACCCCATGGGCATCGTCCCCACCATGGTCTTGCCATGGTCATCATCCCCTCCATGCCTATGGTTACCCCCATGGTCACCATTCCCCCATGGTCATGGTCTCCCCATGGACTTCCCATGGTCACTGTCTTCTCCATCCCCATGGTCATTGTCCCCACCATGGTCTTCCCATGTTCTTCATTCCCTCCATGTCTATGGTCACCATTTCCCCATGGTCTCCCCATGGTCATGGTCCCCCCCATGCTTATGGGCACCCTCATGGTCATTGTACCCACCACTCACTGTCACCCCATGGTCTTGCCATGGTCATCAGCCTGTCCTTGCCTATGGTTACCCCCATGGTCACCATTCCCCCATGGTCATGGTGTCTCCATGGTCTTCCTATGGTCATTGTCCTGTCCATGACTGTCATCACCCCATGGTCACTGACCCCACCATGGTCTTCCCATGGTCATCATCCCCTCCATGCCTGTGGTCATCATTCTCCCTCCATGGTCTTCCAATGGTCATGGTCCCCCTCCATGCCTATGGTTACCCCCATGGTCACCATTCCCCCATGGTCATGGTGTCCTCATGGTCTTCCTATGGTCATTGTCCTGTCCATGACTGTCATCACCCCATGGGCATCGTCCCCACCATGGTCTTGCCATGGTCATCATCCCCTCCATGCCTATGGGCACCCCCATGGTCACCATTCCCCCATGGTCATTGTCCCCACCATGGTCTTCCCATGTTCTTCATCCCCTCCATGCCTATGGTCACCCCCATGGTCACCATCACCCCATGGTCTCCCCATGGTCACCATGGTCATGATCTCCCCATGGACTTCCCATGGTCACTGTCCTGTCCATCCCCATGCTCATTGTCCCCACCATGGTCTTCCCATGTTCTTCATCCCCTCCATGCCTATGGTCACCCCATGGTCACCATCACCCCATGGTCTCCCCACGGTCACCATGGTCCTGGTCACCCCCATGGTCACCATCACCCCATGGTCTCCCCACGGTCACCATCACCCCATGGTCTCCCCACGGTCACCATGGTCATGATCACCCCCATGGTCATGATCTCCCAATGACCCCCCCTATGTCCACTATCCCCTCACCCCAGTACCCCCCCCATCCCATCCCATTCCCCCCCAGTGCCCCACATCCTCACCTCCCGGAAGGCGATGCGGAGCTCCCTCACCCCCACCATGTGAGCCGTCTCCTCCCTCAGCTTCGGGCCCATCATCTGCACGAAGTCCTCAAAGTCCACCCGCCCGCCCACTGCAGTGGGGCAAGGGACAACCTCAGCGCCCCATAGCCACCCCATAGCCGCCCCATAGCCCCTCAGCTCCCACTCACTCCTCATCTTGATGTGCTGGGAGATCTCGATGAGCTCCATCTCGGTGGGCATGTACCCCAGTGTGCGCATGCAGGCACCCAGGTCCTTGTAGCTGATGAACCCGTCCTGGTCCGTGTCGAACTCCTTGAAGGCATCCAGGAGCTCTGGGGTACAGGGGGACACCAAGCATGGGGTGGAGGGGGATGGAGAACATCCAATGGGGTGCCCATGGGAGCGCGTCACCCCAAGGGAGGTGGATCTGGGTGATGCGGTGGTGGCACCAAGGCACTGAACCCAATGGGAGACCTTTACATGGAACCCATCCCTATGGAACTGAACCCATTGGAGACCCTTCCATGACTCCCATCCCTATGGAACTGAACCCCATTGGAGACCCTTCCATGGCTCCCATCCCTATGGAACTGAACCCATTGGAGACCCTTCCATGACTCCCATCCCTATGGAACTGAACCCCATTGGAGACCCTTCCATGGCTCCCATCCCTATAGAACTGAACCCATTGGAGACCCTTCCATGGCTCCCATCCCTATGGAACTGAACCCAATGGGAGACCTTTACATGGAACCCATCCCTATGGAACTGAACCCATTGGAGACCCTTCCATGGCTCCCATCCCTATGGCACTGAACCCATTGGAGACCCTTCCATGGCTCCCATCCCTATGGAACTGAACCCATTGGAGACCCTTCCATGGCTCCCATCCCTATGGAACTGAACCCATTGGAGACCCTTCCATGGCTCCCATCCCTATGGCACTGAACCCATTGGAGACCCTTCCATGGCTCCCATCCCTATGGAACTGAACCCAATGGGAGACCTTTACATGGCTCCCATCCCTATGGAACTGAACCCATTGGAGACCCTTCCATGGCTCCCATCCCTATGGAACTGAACCCATTGGAGACCCTTCCATGGCTCCCATCCCTATGGAACTGAACCCATTGGAGACCCTTCCATGGCACCCATCCCTATGGAACTGAACCCAATTGGAGACCCTTCCATGGCTCCCATCCCTATGGAACTGAACCCATTGGAGACCCTTCCATGGCTCCCATCCCTATGGAACTGAATCCATTGGAGACCCTTCCATGGCTCCCATCCCTATGGAACTGAACCCATTGGAGACCCTTCCATGGCACCCATCCCTATGGAACTGAACCCATTGGAGACCCTTCCATGGCTCCCATCCCTATGGAACTGAACCCATTGGAGACCCTTCCATGGCTCCCATCCCTATGGAACTGAATCCATTGGAGACCCTTCCATGGCTCCCATCCCTATGGAACTGAACCCATTGGAGACCTTTCCATGGCTCCCATCCCTATGGAACTGAACCCATTGGAGACCCTTCATGGCTCCCATCCCTACGGCACTGAACCCATTGGAGACCCTTCCATGGCTCCCATCCCTACGGCACTGAACCCATTGGAGACCCTTCCATGGCACCCATCCCTATGGCACTGAACCCATTGGAGACCCTTCCATGGCTCCCATCCCTATGGAACTGAACCCATTGGAGACCCTTCCATGGCTCCCATCCCTATGGAACTGAACTCATTGGAGACCCTTCCATGGCTCCCATCCCTATGGCACTGAACCCATTGGAGACCCTTCCATGGCTCCCATTCCTATGGAACTGAACCCATTGGAGACCCTTCCATGGCTCCCATCCCTACGGCACTGAACCCATTGGAGACCCTTCCATGGCTCCCATCCCTATGGAACTGAACCCATTGGAGACCCTTCCATGGCTCCCATCCCTATGGAACTGAACCCATTGGAGACTCCTCCATGGCTCCCATCCCTATGGCACTGAACCCATTGGAGACCCTTCCATGACTCCCATCCCTATGGAACTGAACCCATTGGAGACCCTTCCATGACTCCCATCCCTATGGAACTGAACCCATTGGAGACCCTTCCATGGCTCCCATCCCTATGGAACTGAACCCATTGGAGACCCTTCCATGGCTCCCATCCCTATGGAACTGAACCCATTGGAGACCCTTCCATGGCTCCCATCCCTATGGAACTGAACCCATTGGAGACCCTTCCATGGCTCCCATCCCTATGGAACTGAACCCATTGGAGACCCTTCCATGGCTCCCATCCCTATGGAACTGAACCCATTGGAGACCCTTCCATGGAACCCATCCCTATGGAACTGAACCCATTGGAGACACTTCCATGGCTCCCATCCCTATGGAACTGAACCCATTGGAGACCCTTCCATGGAACCCATCCCTATGGAACTGAACTCAATGGGAGACCTTTACGTGGAACCCATCCCTATGGCACTGAACCCATTGGAGACCCTTCCATGGCTCCCATCCCTATGGAACTGAACCCATTGGAGACCCTTCCATGGCTCCCATCCCTATGGAACTGAACCCATTGGAGATCCTTCCATGGCTCCCATCCCTATGCACGAACCCATAGACCCCTCCATGGCTCCCATCCCTATGGAACTGAACCCATTGGAGACCCTTCCATGGAACCCATCCCTATGGAACTGAACCCATTGGAGACCCTTCCATGGCTCCCATCCCTATGGCACTGAACCCATTGGAGACCCTTCCATGGCTCCCATCCCTATGGAACTGAACCCATTGGAGACCCTTCCATGGCTCCCATCCCTATGGAACTGAACCCATTGGAGACCCTTCCATGGCTCCCATCCCTATGGCACTGAACCCATTGGAGACCCTTCCATGGCACCCATCCCTATGGAACTGAACCCAATGGGAGACCTTTACATGGAACCCATCCCTATGGAACTGAACCCAATGGGAGACCTTTACATGGCTCCCATCCCTATGGAACTGAACCCATTGGAGACCCTTCCATGGCTGCCATCCCTATGGAACTGAACCCATTGGAGACCCTTCCATGGCTCCCATCCCTATGGAACTGAACCCATTGGAGACCCTTCCATGGCACCCATCCCTATGGAACTGAACCCAATGGGAGACATTTACATGGAACCCATCCCTATGGAACTGAACCCATTGGAGACCCCTCCATGGCTCCCATCCCTATGGAACTGAATCCATTGGAGACCCTTCCATGGCTCCCATCCCTATGGAACTGAACCCATTGGAGACCCTTCCATGGCACCCATCCCTATGGAACTGAACCCATTGGAGACCCTTCCATGGCTCCCATCCCTATGGAACTGAATCCATTGGAGACCCTTCCATGGCTCCCATCCCTATGGAACTGAACCCATTGGAGACCTTTCCATGGCTCCCATCCCTATGGAACTGAACCCATTGGAGACCCTTCATGGCTCCCATCCCTACGGCACTGAACCCATTGGAGACCCTTCCATGGCACCCATCCCTATGGAACTGAACCCATTGGAGACCCTTCCATGGCTCCCATCCCTATGGAACTGAACCCATTGGAGACCCTTCCATGGCTCCCATCCCTACGGCACTGAACCCATTGGAGACCCTTCCATGGCACCCATCCCTATGGAACTGAACCCATTGGAGACCCTTCCATGGCTCCCATCCCTATGGAACTGAACCCATTGGAGACCCCTCCATGGCTCCCATCCCTATGGCACTGAACCCATTGGAGACCCTTCCATGACTCCCATCCCTATGGAACTGAACCCATTGGAGACCCTTCCATGACTCCCATCCCTATGGAACTGAACCCATTGGAGACCCTTCCATGGCTCCCATCCCTATGGAACTGAACCCATTGGAGACCCTTCCATGGCTCCCATCCCTATGGAACTGAACCCATTGGAGACCCTTCCATGGCTCCCATCCCTATGGAACTGAACCCATTAACCCCCACCCCACCCAAACAACCCAGGAGACCCTTCCATGGCTCCCATCCCTATGGAACTGAACCCATTGGAGACCCTTCCATGGCTCCCATCCCTATGGAACTGAACCCATTGGAGACCCTTCCATGGCTCCCATCCCTATGGAACTGAACCCATTGGAGACCCTTCCATGGCTCCCATCCCTATGGAACTGAACCCATTGGAGACCCTTCCATGGCTCCCATCCCTATGGAACTGAACCCATTGGAGACCCTTCCACGGCTCCCATCCCTATGGCACTGAACCCATTGGAGACCCTTCCATGGCTCCCATCCCTATGGAACTGAACCCATTGGAGACCCTTCCATGGCTCCCATCCCTATGGAACTGAACCCATTGGAGACCCTTCCACGGCTCCCATCCCTATGGCACTGAACCCATTGGAGACCCTTCCATGGCACGTGTCCCCATGGCACCATTGTCCCCATGGCAGAGCCCACTATGGCACCCATCCCCATTGCACTGACACACAGTTGGAGCCCCCTCCATAGTGCATGTCCCCATAGAACCATTGTCCCCCATGGCACCATTGTCCCCCATAGCATCATTGTCCCCCATGGCAGAGCCCTCTATGGCACCCATCCCCATTGCACTGCACCCAATGGGAGATCCCTCCATACTGCATGTCCCCATATCATCATTCTCCCCATGACACCATTGTCCCCATAGCATCATTGTCCCCCATAGCACCATTGTCCCCTATGGCACTATTGTCCCCTCTGGCATCATTGTCCCCCATGGCAAAGCCCTCTATGGCACCCATTCCCATTGCACTGCACCCAATGGGAGCCCTCTCCATAGCACCATTGTCCCCTATGGCATCATTGTCCCCTATGACACCATTGTCCCCCATGGCACCATTGTCCCCTATGGCACCATTGCCCCCCAGTGTCCCCCAGTGTCCCCCATAGCACCATTGTCCCCTATGGCACCATTGCCCCCTATGACACCATTGCCCCCCATGTCCCCCAGTGTCCCCAGTGTCCCCAGTCCCCTCTCACCATCCAGCTCCTCCGGTGACAGCTCCCGCTCCTGAACCGGGTGGGGGGAGGGGTTGGGACCAGCATCAGCCCCGGCTCAGCACCATCCCCGCCCCGGCCCCCCATCCCCCCACATCCCCCACCCCCCCCATCACCTTCCTTGTGCTGGGTCAGAATTAGCCCCACGGGAGGGATTAACGGGATTGGAGCAAAGCCCTGCCCGGGCCCCTCCCCCCCCATCCTGGCCTTGCCCCGCACCCATGGGTGCTGCTGGGGGTGCTTTGGGTCTCTATGGAGGGGCCGGTGCCAGGGGTCCAGGAGCATCCCAACCGCATCCCCACGTCCCCTCCATCCCAATGATCCCAGAGCATCCCAACCGCATCCCCACATCCCCTCCATCCCAATGACCCCAGAGCATCCCAACCGCATCCCCACGTCCCCTCCATCCCAGGGATCCCAGAGCATCCCAACCGCATCCCCACGTCCCCTCCATCCCAATGACCCCAGAGCATCCCAATCTCATCCCCACCTCATCCCCACCTCATCCCCATCTCATCCCAACCTCATCCCCACCTCATCCCCATCTCATCCCCACCTCATCCCCACCTCATCCCCACCTCATCCCAACCTCATCCCCACCTCATCCCCACCTCATCCCCACCTCATCCCCACCTCATCCCAACCTCATCCCAACCTCATCCCAACCTCATCCCCACCTCATCCCCACCTCATCCCAACCTCATCCCCACCTCATCCCAACCTCATCCCCACCTCATCCCAACCTCATCCCCACCTCATCCCAACCTCATCCCCACCTCATCCCCACCTCATCCCAACCTCATCCCCACCTCATCCCCACCTCATCCCCACCTCATCCCCACCTCATCCCAACCTCATCCCCATCTCATCCCCCACCCATCCCCACCTCATCCCAACCTCATCCCCACCTCATCCCAACCTCATCCCAATCTCATCCCAACCTCATCCCAATCTCATCCCAACCTCATCCCCACCTCATCCCAACCTCATCCCAACCTCATCCCAACCTCATCCCCACCTCATCCCCACCTCATCCCCATCTCATCCCCACCTCATCCCCACCTCATCCCAACCTCATCCCCACCTCATCCCCACCTCATCCCAACCTCATCCCAACCTCATCCCCACCTCATCCCCACCTCATCCCCATCTCATCCCCACCTCATCCCCACCTCATCCCCACCTCATCCCCACCTCATCCCCACCTCATCCCAACCTCATCCCCACCTCATCCCCACCTCATCCCCACCTCATCCCCCACCTCATCCCCACCTCATCCCCACCTCATCCAAACCCATCCCAACCTCATCCCCCCACCCATCCCCATCTCATCCCCATCTCATCCCCACCTCATCCCCCCACCTCATCCCCACCTCATCCCCACCTCATCCCCACCTCATCCCAACCTCATCCCCACCTCATCCCCACCTCATCCCCACCTCATCCCCACCTCATCCCCACCTCATCCCCACCTCATCCCCACCTCATCCCAACCTATCCCTACCTCATCCCAACCTCATCCCCACCTCATCCCCACCTCATCCCAACCTCATCCCCACCTCATCCCCACCTCATCCCCACCTCATCCCCACCTCATCCCAACCTCATCCCCACCTCATCCCCATCTCATCCCCACCTCATCCCCACCTCATCCCCACCTCATCCCCCATCTCATCCCAATCTCATCCCCATCTCATCCCCACCTCATCCCCACCTCATCCCAAACTCATCCCCACCTCATCCCCACATCCCCTCCACCCCAATGACCCCAATCTCATCCCTACCTCCTCCCCACCTCATCCCCATGTCCCCTCCCTTCAATGTCCCCTCCACCCCAATGACCCCAGAGCACCCCAATCCCTGGAGCACCCCAATCCCATCCCAACCCCATCCCCACATCCCCCCCCCCCCCGCACCTTGCCGAACACGCTGTTCAGGAAGGGGGAATAGGTTTTCCCTGCGGCCCCATTGGGGTCCCCTCCTCCCTTCCTCCCGCTCCGCTGCCCGTGCCCGTGCCCGTGCCCGTGCCCGCTGGCCCGGGGCTCGCTCCCTGCGCTCCGGCCGCCGCCGCCGCCGCCGTCCTCGGGGGGCCGGGGGGGGGCGGCTTCGCCCCGGTCCTTGCCCGTGCCCTTTGGGGCCCCCTTGTCCCTGCCGGTCCGCGGCATCGGGGGCAGCGCCCGGTGCGGACCGAGCCTCAGCGGGAGCAGGAAATCCTCTTACCCCGGTGCCCCCCCCCCCGTGCCCCGGGGCTCCAAAGCCAATTAACGGGGATTAACGGCAGGGAACGGGCACCGGGCCCGGCCCCGCGGCCACGGCAGCAACGGGACCGCCCCCCGGACCTGTGCTGGGGTCACCCTGAGCGGGCCTGACCCAATGGGGGCTCCCCATAGACACCATCCATGGCCCCAGTGATGACACCCCCTAGTGTCCCCAATACCCCAGTGATGACAACCCATGTCCCCAGTACCAACCCATGTCCCCAGTACCAACCCATGTCCCCAGTACCAACCCATGTCCCCAGTACCAGCCCATGGCCCCAGTGGGGACTCCCTATGGACACCATCCATGGCCCCAGTGGGGTCACCCCACCGGCACCAACCTGGGTCCCCAGCATCAACCCATGGGGGACACTCCATGGACACCATCCATGGCCCCAGTGGGGACTCCCTATGGACACCATCCATGACCCCGATAGGACTCCCTATGGACACCATCTGTGGCCCCAATAGGACTCCCTATGGACACCATCCATGGCCCCAATGGGGCTCCCCATAGACACCATCCATGGCCACAATGGGAACACCCCATAGACACCACCCATGGCCCCAGTGGGGACACCCCATAGACACCATCCATGGCCTCAGTGGGGCTCCCCATAGACACCATCCATGGCCCCAGTGATGACACACCATAGACACCATCCATGGCCCCAATGGTGACACCCCATAGACACCATCCATGGCCCCAATGGTGACACCCCATAGACACCATCCATGGCCCCAGTGGGGACACCCCATGGACACCATCCATGCCCCCAGCACCAACCCCTGTCCCCAATGGGGACACCCCATAGACATCATCCATAGCCCCAGTGGGGCTCCCCATGGACACCATCCATGTCCCCAATGGGGACTCCCCATCATCACCATCTGCCATGGGGGACAGTGCCATGGGGTCATGCACCACTAAGGGATCTCCCATGGGGGTCAATGCTATGAGCACAAGACCCCCATCCCTATCACTGTCACCCCATGACCACCACCATTGTCCCAGCACCCCTATCCCCAACCTGCACCCCCATTGCTGTCCCCAGTGTCCCCAGCAGGGCTGGCCCCTCATGTCCCTGAGCTCTTCCCATCATTACCAGTAGGTCCTGCGCTATTTGCCCCCCTTGGGCCCCCATAGGGGCTGGTGGGGTCTTGGGGTATCTCCATGCTCGGTGGCGTGATGGGGTGATGCAGTCAATAGGGGATAAGGATGCCATAGACATGGGGGGGGGGGACACCCCGAAAATGATGCTAGGGCAGGGGAAAACCAGTTTGCTGTGGGTCTGGGGTCTGTGTGGTGCTGTGGTGACAGGGGATGGGGTTGGGGTAACAGCATTGGGGATGACATGGGATGGAGGTGACACTGGAGTGGGTGACACCAAAGGGGGTGACACCAAAGGGGGTGACACCAAAGGGGGTGACACCAAAGGGGGGTGACACCAAAGTGGGTGACACCAAAGGGGGGTGACACTGATGTGGGTGACACCAAAGGGGGTAACACCAAAAGGGGGTGACACCAAAGTGGGTGACACCAAAGGGGGGTGACCCCAAAGGGGGTGACACCAAAGGGGGGTGACACTGATGTGGGTGACACCAAAGTGGGTGACACCAAAAGGGGTGACACCAAAGGGGGGTGATACTGATGTGGGTGACACCAAAGGGGGGTGACACCGGCGGGGGTGACCCCAAAGTGGGTGACACCAAAGGGGGTGACACCAAAGGGCGGTGACACCAAAGGGGGTGACACCAAAGGGGGGTGACACCAAAGGGGGTAACACCAAAAGGGGGTGACCCCAAAGTGGGTGACACCAAAGGGGGTAACACCAAAAGGGGTGACACCAAAGGTGGGTGACACCAAAGGGGGGTGACACTGATGTGGGTGACACCAAAAGGGGGTGACACCAAAGGGGGGTGACACCAAAGGGGGGTGACACCAAAGGGGGTGACACCAAAGTGGGTGACACCAAAGGGGGTGACACCAAAGTGGGTGACACCAAAGGGGGCTGACACTGATGTGGGTGACACCAAAGGGGGCTGACACTGATGTGAGTGACCCCAAAGGGGGGTGACCCCAAAGGGGGCTGACACCCCACTCCTGCACCCCCCTGCTGCCCATAGCCCCGCAGCCGTACCGATGGAGCCATGGACCAGCACGGTGCTGCCCACCCCGACCCCACCGCCCAGTGATGCCCTATGGTGGGACATGCACCTCCCGGTGGCCTGCGCCGCGCTGGGGCTCCGGGCCAACGCCATCACCCTGTGGCTATCGGGCCGGCGGCTTCGGTCGCCTTCATCTTCAGCTTGGCCTCCTCCGACTTCCTCTTCCTCAGCACCTCCTTGCTGCAGATCCGCTCGGTGGCCAGCGCCTACTGGTGGCTACTGGACACGCACTGGTGCCGCCTCCATCACTTCCTCTATGCCTTGGGTTACTACAGCAGCCTCTTCCCCGCTGCTTGCTGGTGGCCATCGGGTACCGCTGCCGCCGCCCTGCCCGCTTACCGGCCATGCTGTACCGGAGGCAGCGCTGTCGCCAACGGAGGAGCTGGTACCGGGGTTCCCCGTGTGCCGCAGCGAACGGGGCTCCTGGGAGGCTCCGTTGCGTTGACTCGAGGGGGGATGCTCCCGTTCGCCGCCGCGGTGCTGAGCCACGGAACGGCGCTGCTGATGCTGCGCTACCGGAGGAGGCCCCGCGGCCGCAGCATCGCCCGGTTCCCAGTGCATGGCCGCGGCTGCAGCTCCCGTTCCAAGCTCGGGCCCCGGTACCGCCGAGCACCTCCTGGTACCCGCTGGGGCTCGCCTTTAACCTCAGCAGCTCCGTTAACCCCTGCCTCTGCCTCCTGCCCGGCCCTGCCCGTGCCTGCGGCCGCGCTGCCCGAGCACTGCGCGGCCTCGGGGGGGTGGTGGTACCCAGGGTGGTGATCGCTGGCACTGCTGGCACTGCAGCCATTGCTGGTACCCGTATGGCATCCACTGCATCCATCACTGGTACTGCTATGGCATCCATTGCCACTGCATCCACTGCTGGTACTGCTATGGCAGGCACTGCATCCACTGCTGGTACTGCTATGGCATCCATTGCCACTGCGCCCATCACTGGTACTGCTATGGCATCCACTGCCACTGCATCCATCACTGATACTGCTATGGCATCCACTGCTGGCACCGCTATGGCATCCATTGCCACTGCATCCACTGCTGGCACTGCTATGGCATGCACTGCCACTGCGTCCATCACTGGTACTGCTATGGCATGCACTGACACTGCACCCATCACTGGTACTGCTATGGCATGCACTGACACTGCATCCACTGCATCCACTGCTATGGCAGGCACTGACACTGCACCCATCACTGATACTGCTATGGCATGCACTGACACTGCACCCATCACTGGTACTGCTATGGCATGCACTGACACTGCATCCACTGCATCCACTGCTATGGCAGGCACTGACACTGCACCCATCACTGATACTGCTATGGCATGCACTGACACTGCACCCATCACTGGTACTGCTATGGCATCCACTGCCACTGCACCCATCACCGGCACTGCTATGGCATCCACTGCATCCACTGCTGGTACTGTTATGGCATCCACTGCCACTGCATCCACTGCATCCACTGCTATGGCATCCACTGCCACTGCATTCGCCACCAGCAGCACTGCATCACCTGCAGTCACTGCTGTGCCACTTGCCACTGTCACCACTGCATCACCCACTGACACCACTGCATCACCCACTGACACCACTGCATCACCCACTGACACCGCTGCATCACCCACTGACACCACTGCATCACCCACTGACACCACTGCATCACCCACTGACACCGCTGCATCACCCACTGACACCACTGCATCACCCACTGCCACCACTGTGCCACTCACCACTGTCACTGCTGTGGCACCTACCACTGATGCTGCCCCATCACCCACTGTGTCACTCACCGCCACCACCATGCCACCCATCACCGCTGTGCCACATGCTGCCAGCACCCCTGTGCCACCCAGCACTGTCACCCCAGTGCCACCCAGCCCTGTTATCCCAGTGCCACCCAGCACTGTCACCCCAGTGCCACCCAGCCCTGTTACCCCAGTGCCACCCAGCACTGTCACCCCAGTGCCACCCAGCACTGTCACCCCAGTGCCACCCAGCACCATCGCCACTGTGCTGCCTACCATTATCCCTGCACCGCCCATCACTGTCACCCCAGTGCCAGCCGCCACTGCCATCTCCGTGCCACCCATCACCCCGGTGTCATAGAACCATAGAATAGTTAGGGTTGGAAAGGACCTTAAGATCATCCAGTTCCAGCCCCCCTGCCATGGGCAGGGACACCTCGCTCTAAACCATGGCACCCAAGGCTCTGTCCAACCTGGCCTTGAACACTGCCAGGGATGGAGCATTCACAACCTCCCTGGGCACCCATTCCAGTGCCTCACCACCCTCACAGGAAAGAATTTCCTCCTTAGATCCAATCTAAACTTCCCCTGTTTCAGTTTTAACCCATTACCCCTTGTCCTATCACTACAGTCCCTAATGAAGAGTCCCTCCCCAGCATCCCTATAGGCCCCCTTCAGACACTGGAAGCTGCTCTGAGGTCTCCACGCAGCTTCTCTTCTCCAGGCTGAACAGCCCCAACTTTCTCAGCCTATCTCCATACAGGAGCTGCTCCAGCCCCTGAGCATCCTCGTGGCCTCCTCTGGACTTGTTCCAACAGTTCCATGTCCTTTTTATGTTGAGGACACCAGAACTGCACACAATGCTCCAGGGGAGGTCTCACGAGAGCAGAGCAGAGGGGCAGGATCAGCTCCTTGGACCTGCTGGTCACGCTCCTTTGGATGCAGCCCAGGATACGGTTGGTTTCTGGGCTCAAGCGCACACTGAAGCCGG